GTTGCAAGAAAAGCCAACTAGTAAATGAATAAGGATGGCATTGTGGCTTGGAAAATGCAAGACCAAAAGGCGTCCACTATGTTGAACGAGCGCATCGGTGTCAATCGTGTGAGCAGAGTGCGCCGTGCATCAAGCTTGAGGACTTTTCGTACAAAGCGTAGATGGTGGTTAGAGTAGATTGTCGAATTCTGCTCGTTATCGCTCTCATCCCCATTCCGTTGCACTCCCTTGTGACTCATTAGCCCAGCCCTCCCCGTCTGACTCCCCTTACTTTCCCCCTGGCACAACCAACTCATTTCACCCATGCCACTCCCCTGCACCTCCCTTCTTCCCGGCTCTCTCACCCACTACGAAAAATCTCCCACTTCCTCAACTGGTTCCGGCATTGGGTTGGCCTAACTAAGACGATAGCTGAGGCACAAAATTCCACTTGAGCAGGAAACAAAGAAACAAGCACAGAACGAATAGACCTAGGCTGCTATATACAATGGAGCATACCTGCCTAGACCTAAGGCAACGAGCAGTGCCAGCAAGGCCATTCGATGCCTGCCCTCTGGCTTGCGTACACACATGCAATGTGCATGCACTCGATCATACGGTCATCAGCCCACTCTATGTACAAGAACAAATCTCCATTGTGCGCTTCCCGCACAAACCCTCGTAGGGACCCTGCACCAGCTGTCCTCGACGCACCCCTGCTTGCGATCCGCCTGCATGCTGTCCTGCGTCACACGCCTTTGCCACGCCTTCCCCGCACCTGATTGCCCACCCATCAACTCAGGTTCGGCTTCTGCACCCGCCATACGGAACTTCGCTGCTCTTCCGCGGTACTGTACACCTCGCTTCTGCTACACCGCACTTGTGGCACTTATCGCTGAATTCATATTTCGTGAGAAGTGTGACACGATCCACGTAAAATAGACTCTCCATGGCAAAATTCTAGCCCGCCTAGCGTTCTTCATAGTGAAGTGGAGTTAAGCGAATCGATGAATAAGTACGAGACTCGTGTGGAGGAATTTGGGAAACGTTCATGGACCTTAGTGGTACATTCGCGTAGGCGGATTGGATCTTGATCTTGCTATGCGAACATCAAGAGGGGTGGTAGATGCTAATTACGACACTCGAAGGCGTGCAAGACACGTAGACAAAGGAAATGGTGGAAGCTTAGCTTCTGTATGATAAATTTCATCACCGACAATACGTTAAAGAGAGCACGGGGACTGCTATGTTTTCTAGAGGAAAATCCGGAAAGAAGTCCAAGTGAGGCAAGGGTTCGACGAGGAAATCTTCCGAGCATTGTCACGATTCTAATCTATGCGTAGAGCAGTAGATATATTATCGTGACTAATAGGATATAGGAGACACTACAGTAGGGAGGATGACTATGAAATCGGGTGCAGCCGAAGTGACACATCTGCAAGCCGAGAATTGGCGGGCGAGCGGGAACCGTTGGGATAACGGTAACCCGTCGCTAGTACTTAAGAAATTAGGCAAGCTTCGGTAGGATTGCTTGCGTGTTTGTTTTCACACCTATGCTTATAATTGCTACTTCTAAATCCTACGAGGAAGTGTCAAGCCTGAGAAACCAATCCACGCAAGCACTGAATTCGTCCATACTCCAAGAGTACTCTGTCAGCCGAGCTAGGGTTTGAGCACCTGCTGCAGGCGGGACAAGGGACTTTTTCAACGAACAAGCAAGGAGCTGTAGATCAATCGCCGAGATCTCCTAAGGACGCGACTGTGGAACGACACAGACGAGTTGAAGCCCACGGCGGGGTGGCGGGCTGAAGCTATTGCTTCTCAAGGAAGCGCAGGCGCGGCACGTGCCGAGACCGAGTCACCGAAATATAGAACTCCTCACCAACGTGCACGAGAAGGGAGGGAAAACATGGAGCGAGTTCGCTCCGTCGTCTCGGATCCTGGGGATACGCCGCTTGACGTTCGCTGGACCGAGAAAGTACATGAACGATGGAAAACCCAAGATGCAGTGACTCCGCAAAACGGAATGCCGAGGATGCCCCCGAAGAAGGATCGGGCCGACCTGCGATGGAAGCCGTCAGGAGGCCTCGCACCAGAGACGATGCCCGGGAAGGCTCTAATCCACAGCGGCATCGCGGATGCCTCGGAAGGTCCGCAGGAAGGACACAGTATCAGCGGAATGCGCTGGAAGGCGACCAACTTGCCCAAAGTGGAGGTGGCCGAGCGATATACGGGGATTCCTGGCGTGGGGCCCAATCTGAAGAATTACCTGATGCAGCTCGAGACCGTACAGTATTGTTGGGAAAGAGATGGATATGACCCGGCTGAATTCTTCCGGAAGATGGTGGGGACATTGGCGGGCGAAGCTGAGACATTCTACCGCCTGACCCGAGACGAAGTTCTAGAAGAACTGGCAGCCGGAGATATAGCCAACCCGACGGCCCGATTCGTGCAGCTGCTACGGAAGGAGTTCGCGGGGCAGACTAAGGCGCGCGTCGAGGAGTTTCGAGACTTCCGTCGCAAGAAAGAAGAGTCGCTGCTGGCATATTACTGCAGACTCCGTGAATTGGCCGAAGATCTAGAAAGCTCGGACGAACGCGTGCTAGTGCGGAAGTTCGTTCGAGGGCTAGACGAAGAGCTGAAGGGAGTAGTGCGGAGCACTGTATACGGTATCGGCGCCGATGTCACTCTAAAGGAAGTCTACCTGCTGACGAAGAAAACGGAGCAAGCGCAACGGCTGCTAGATCTGGAAGATTCGGACGGTAGGAGTCGGCCGAAGACGAGCTGGGCAGCGGCGGCGGTACCCGAATCGGCATCTGGGGGCAGCAGCCGAGCCGACCCTCGGCTTTGTCACACCTGCGGAGAGCACGGACACCTGAAGCGTGACTGCCCCAACGCGCCGACATGCGAGCAGTGCGGGAAACGTGGACACCGGAAGGAGGATTGTTACAGCCGACCGAAGGACGCGCTGGGGGCAACTAGAGAAGAGCTCCAAGCTGAGGTGCGGCGGCTGCAGCTGAGACTGGAACAACTGCCTAATCTGAAGAAGGCAAAAGCGAGGGCGATGTTTTTGTACGAAGAAATAGACGAAGCCGAGGAGGAAGGCGAGGAGGACTACACACGAGAGTACGCCGCTATGGCCTATCCGCGAGCGAGGGATGACATCCGCCTCCGACCAAGGGCTAGCCAGTCTCAGAGCAGTGAAGTGACGAGCGGAACCCGCTCCCGCAGCAGTCAGGTCGAAGGAGTGCGGCCCTCGGACATGAGGCGACACCCGAACGAGAGGCTAGTGTGTCAAGCATCCGTGCTGATCGCAGAACGGGGAAGTCTCACCGTGGGAGGCCTGCCCGTGAAGCAAGCCATCATTGATACCGGAGCGCACCACGTCCTCATCGGCAAGGGACTCGCCAACCCAACAGCTGAAGTTGGACGGGTCAGGTCGCACCATTGAGCGAGGAATCTTACTCATGACGGCTGAAGGAGGGGAGCCGAAGTGGATGCCGAAAACCAGGCGGCCGGTGGAAGTGGTGCTCTTACCAGGGACCGAGAAGGAGTGTTGGATTCGGCTGCAGTGCGGCGTCTCGGAATCGGAGGACTACGATGTCCTCGTCGGGATGGAGCTCTTATACCGAGTGGGAGCCACCATCTGCACTTGGCAGGAGAAAGTGCTATTCCGAGTGCAATACTGGGACCCCGAGAGCACCGTAGGAACGCTGCTCGTCCGGTTCGTTCGGCAGGAGCCACGAGAGGCGTATCAGGCACAAAGGAAGGATCTGACAGAGGAGCTGGAGGATTGGCCCTGGGAGAGATACGAGGAGGAGTACGAATGGCGGATTGAGAGGCGGACCTTGGGACAGAGCCCGCCGGACTTGACTGAGCGAGTTAGTAGGGTGCAGACTCTGGACGTACCTATCTGCATCCTGGAACTATATGGGGGGATCGGGACCGGCCTGGCTGCGGCGTTGCGAGCGGGATGCACCGTCAAGAAGTGGATCCATGTCGAGTGCGATCCAGCTGTGCGGAAGATGGCGCGCCACCACGCCGAGCTACTGCGGGACGAATACCCGGATCAAATGTGGGAGGACGCGCTGCCTTACGAGTCTGAACCAGCAGTGCATGACGTCAGAGACATCACCGAGCAGCTACTGGAGAGCTGGGGGCAGATAGACCTTGTTATCGCTGGGTGGGAATGTCAGGGATATTCTAGAGCCGGGGAAGGGCTAGGGATGGAAGACGCGCGAGGAGCATCGTTCCGTGACCTGCGGCGGGTGTTAGAGATGATCCAGCAGCGGCAGGGAGAAGTTGCCTACATTCCGGAGAATGTAGATCTGGCTGAGGATAAGCGCGAGCAAGTGAAACGAGCGTTTGAGGAGATAATCGGAGTCGTGGGGCGCGGAGTACCAGCAGATGCGGCACAGCTAGGGTCGCGCGCACATCGGCCGAGGCGGTACTGGCAGAACGTGATGTCCACAGCAGCGCTACGGCACTCGCTAGCGCTGATGCAATGCCCAGAACCGCGGCTAGTGAGTGACATCCTGGAGCCGAACCGTCTGCCAGCCCCGGTGACGTGCACCGATCACCCTTTGCAGTACCAGTGTAATGAGCCAGGCAAGCCGCGACAGGCGTTGCCTACGCTAGTGTCCTACGCGGACGCCCGTGGATTCCGGATGGAGGGAGAGCTGCCGGGACCAGGGATGATTTACGATGTGCGGAAAGGAGTTTGGGAGCAACCGATGGCGAATGAGCGGGAAGCAGCCATGGGACATCTGTGGGGAGCTACGGCACATCCGGAGGTGACGGAGCAACAGCGCCGAGCCGCCCTGGGTCGAGCCATGGACGCGAACGTCATGACCTGGCTCCAAGATACGATGCGGATGCACCTCAAGGCGAAGGAGCTGCAAAGGGACATCGCGTGCAGCGAACGCTACCGAGACCTGGACTCTGTCAAGTGGCAGAGGAAGTCGCTGGCGCGGATCGAAGAACGGTACGATGTGAAGATCGATGAAGGGTGAGCGGCGTACATGGCTCTAGAGGTAACAGAAGGAGTGGTGGAGGGAGATGGGAAGTCTGCGGTAGAATTACCAGAGAAGAAGGAAAGGGGCCCAGACGAGGAGTGGGTCTTTGGAGGAGGGATGGATGCCGAGTCGGCGGCAGCTCTGCAGGAAGTACTGAAGCAGCATCGCGGGACATTCGCGTACACCTTGCAGGAGTTGGGGAGGTGCACCACCCATGAGATGAAGATCGAACTCACCACCGAGGTTCCGATATACCAACGGAAGCGGCGGATGAGTCCAGGCGACGTAGACATCTGCACCGAGAAATGCCACGAATTGTTGGAAGCGGGGCTGATCCAACGTTTTGAGAGTGACTATGCCGCAGCGACAGTGGTAGCCTCATGGAAGGACCTGACAGGAGCGGTATCGGCACGGAGGATGTGCGGGGATTACCAGAGTCTAAACAAGGTCACGGTGGCGGATAGGTACCCCATGCAATCGGCAGAAGAGATCTTCGATAAGCTGCAGGGAGCCAAAGTCTTCTCCACCCTGGATCTACGTCAGGGATTCAACCAGATTCCCATTCGACTCGCGGACCGGAAAAAGACGGCATTTCATGGGCCGGACGGTCTGTACGAGTGGCGTTTCATGCCATTCGGAACGAAGAACGCGCCCGCTCTGTTTCAAAGAGTCATGGATACGACACTGCGTGGTGTACCGGCGGCTGCCAGTTACATTGACGATGTCGTTGTCTTCAGTCCGAACGCGGTGCAGCACGTGAAGGACGTGCGAGCAACGTTGGACGCCATTCGGGAAGCTGGCCTCACCTGTCACCCGAAGAAGTGCAGCTTTGGGAATACGGGAGTGAAATACCTGGGGTTCGAAGTCCAAGGAGGGCAGCTGGGGATTCAGCAAGCGAAAGTGGAGGTCCTAGACAGGGTGCCGCAGCCGAAGGACAGGAGCACTCTGCGAGCCGTGCTCGGGTTTCTCAATTACTACAGGAAGTTCATACCGAACTTCAGCAAGACTGCAGCGGCGTTAAACCGGCTGCTGAGGGAGGATCAGAAGTGGGAATGGGGGGAGGCGGAGCAGGGAGCACTCCAGACTCTGCTGAGAGCAGTGAAGACGGCTACTGTACTGACCCTGCCCAACACCGAGGATCCATTCGTGCTGTACACTGACTGGAGCAGCGCTGGCATGGGAGCGATTTTGTGTCAGAAGAGGGAAGGAGAAGAGAAAGTAGTCGCTTTCGCCAGCCGGAGCTGCAACCCGGCAGAGGCAAACTACAGCTCATACGAGGGTGAAGGGCTAGCAGCCGTATGAGCAATCACTCACTTTATGGTATATCTACAAGGGAGGCAGTTCGAGCTAGTAACTGATCACCAACCGCTGACTTGGCTAATGACCAACCAAGCGCTAACAGGGAGGAACGCTCGCTGGGCCATGCGCTTACAAGAATGACTTCTCCATCCGCCACCGAGCAGGGAAAACCATGCAACACGTAGATGGACTGTCACGGAACCCGCCGACGAATCGCCCTACAGCCTGCCTAGTGGCTCTAGCGAGAGAACTCGACGCCGAAGGGGCCCACCGAGAAAAGGGGACGGGGCCTGCAGATGTCTGGGAAGATCAGGAAGTGCTGGATTGGGTGCAGGGCAAGACCGCTGAAGAAACCACGATTAGCGAGAGGGCCAGGGCTAGGGGAGCGCACTACCGGTGGCACCAAGAGCAGTTGCAGAAGAACACTCGAGACGGATGGAAGCTGGTCCCACGGCCTCAGGAGCGAGAGCAGATCATCAGCTCCGTACACCGGCAGTTGGGACAATATGGCAGCCTACGAACCATGCAGCTAGTAGAAACCAAGGAGTGAGGAGGAGAGATATCAAGGAGTGGGTGACCAAGTGCGAGCTGTGTAGTCGGAATAAAGCGGAACTAGAGCGAGGCAGGAAGGAGCTGCAGTCACTACCCATACACGACATAGGGTTCCGATGGTCACTTGACCTAGCCGGGGAGATGCCGCTGAGCAGGAGGGGGAAGCGCTACATCTTAATCATGATCGAGCACGGCAGCAAATGGGTCGAGGTGAAGGCCCTTCCCAGTAAGAACTCGGCGAAGATAGCTGAAGCGTTTGAGGAGCAGGTGCTCACTAGGTTCGGGGCTTGCGGGGAAGTGCTCACCGACCACGGGACGAAATTCATGGGGGAGTTCGATAAGCTGCTGCAGACCACTGGCATCACGCACAGAAGGACCTCGCGATATCACCCGCAGAGCGACGGTCTCACTGCGATTTGTACAGACAGTGAAGAGGGAGCTGAGGGCATACGGAGAGAAGTTTAAGCGAGACTGGGACTCACGGCTCCCGTGGGTCGTGGCCGGATACAGATTTAGCAAGCAGGCGGCACTAAGGGACTTATCGTCGTATTACCTGCTCTTAGGGCGAGACCCAGTACTGCCAGTAGATGCACCGAGGATCCTCACGGGGTCAGTGCAGGTGGCAACGGAGGAAGAATGGGCGGGGCTGGCCGAAGCGAGGGCGAAGTACCTAAGGGAGCTCCTACCGGCAGCACTCGAAAACTTGCACGTGGCTCAACTGCGGGACACTCAGCGGTACAAGAAGAAGGGAGAACGGCAAGGCGGGGAGAGGGGCAAGGCCCTAGGAGCAGGGGAGGAAGTATACCTGAAGCAGGCTAAACATGACATGATGGACATTGGGCTCAGCACTGAGCGCTGGAAGGTGAAAGAGATCAAGGACTCTGGAGTGGTGGTACTCGTGGGGGCGCAAGGGCAGAGGAAGACGGACCATTGCACCAATGTGGCCCGTGCAAGAGGGCGGACAGGGGATCAAACAGTCCACCGAACGGATGCCGAGAAAGTCCAGCGGCAGTCGGCAGGGGCCGGCAGACAACCGCGGAGGGGGCAAGTGGAGAAGGCAGATGAACGTGGGGGGAAGAACAGCAGAGAACTCAGGGCGCTAACAAGGCCCAGCTGAAGCATCAACAAGAGAGACAGTGGGGCAGAGACGGGGGTAGCAGAGGAGAGCACTGGCAAGAGCAGGTAAGGCGGGGACCATACAATGTCCGACAGCTGTCACGATTCTAATCTATGCGTAGAGCAGTAGATATATCATCGTGACTAATAGGATATAGGAGACACTACAGTAGGGAGGATGACTATGAAATCGGGTGCAGCCGAAGCGACACATCTGCAAGCCGAGAATTGGCGGGCGAGCGGGAACCGTTGGGATAACGGTAACCCGTCGCTAGTAGTTAAGAAATTAGGCAAGGTTCGGTAGGATTGCTTGCGTGTTTGTTTTCACACCTATGCTTATAATTGCTACTTCTAAATCCTACGAGGAAGTGTCAAGCCTGAGAAACCAATCCACGCAAGCACTGAATTCGTCCATACTCCAAGAGTACTCAGTCAGCCGAGCTAGGGTTTGAGCACCTGCTGCAGGCGGGACAAGGGACTTTTTCAAGTGGTGAAGGCATATGAACATGGGGGGAAGAACAGCAGAGAACTCAGGGCGCTAACAAGGCTCAGCTGAAGCATCAACAAGAGAGACAGTGGGGCAGAGACGGGGGTAGCAAAGGAGAGCACTGGCAAGAGCAGGTAAGGCGGGGACCATACAATGTCCGACAGCATTGCCGGAATGGGGAAAACATGAACGGCTTACCATAGTGCACTATTGCGGCAAATTCGGGCACATTCTAAGAAGAAAAAAAAAACATAAAATAGGCAAAAAAAAAAAAAAGGTTATGCAAAGCTGTACTCTCTATATTGCACGTTTACCTCACCTAGACTAAACGTACACAAAACATAAAATATGTGTGATTTGACACACCTAAGCTAGGTAAGGGCAGCGCCAAGAAGAGAAACATAGCATGGTGGTCACAAAACCAGTCAATAATAATAAAAAAGTGTACAACTCGAGGTAGTACTACTAGCACATCCTCTAAGACTAATGGCCATAAGACCAATGACTGAAGATACATAAATATACATATGAATATAAAAGGCTTTAAAGTGAGATCACGAGAGATCAAGAGGCTTAAAAGTGAGGTCTTACTAGGACAAGCCAAGTTGTGTGCAGAACTGCTGATTATCACAAGGCTGGAGTGCTTTCGTAAAGATATCAGCGCTATTGGCCCGTGAGACCAAGTGTATCATATGTGCCTCCCCCTCCAGGTGGCCGATTCACCTTGAAGATGCACATGTCATTGACAACATTCACTTTAGGAGAGTGAATTACGTCGACATGGGTGCGTGTGGACCTCCACGATGCCATCTCTGCATCCATGGTTGCTATCCACTGAGAGAACCAGCAACCCGAGACTACCTCATCGTAGGTGCGACAGGTCGGGATGTCAAGAGCGTCTGGGTCACCCCCAGGGTCTTGCAGCATGGTACAGAGGTGAGGAGCAACGGTCGCAATGAAAGCTAGTTCGAATTATCTCTCCTCTAGGACGTCACTACCAAGGGCAAAAACATCACCGACGGACGGAGGACTTGCAAGGGCAGAGACCAATAGAGTGGCATTGTTTAATTCTTAGGTGGGGAAAAAGTTAGTGACAGCAGTGACAAGAGCAGAGACATACTGAGGAGGAGCAGCAGGGCTAGTGACAAGGGAGGAAAATATACGAGAGAACGTAGGGCGTGCAGCACGAAGTCAGAGAACGAAGGAGAGGAGACAGTAACGGTTGAATGGGGAGTAACGAGATAACAGGAGGCGAAACACGATGGGGATGAAAACGAAGGGTTATGGATTGGAAACTGGGAACGAGAGAAGCGGGAGGAGCACGAGGGGAACAATGGACCAAGGACTGGAAGCAAAACTTGGGAGGCAAAGGAGGAGACAATCATGAATGATGAGAACGAGCCAGCGAGTTTTTTGGAAGAAACGTGAGACTGTAGACGACGAGATTTGAGATTTGGGGAGTAGAAGGAAGGAGGACAATCATTAAAAGAGAAGGAAATTCAAGAAGGCTGTCACAGGCGACGACGACTGCTGCGGTGGCTGCTATTGCTGCTACCACTACTGCAGTTGCTAGTGCAACTTTTGCTACTGCTGCTCCAACTGCATTGAATGTCGCAGGCCCACGACATCCCTAGGGCCCGAACCTCCTTTGGTAGCACCCCCAAAGCCAGCACCTTCCATTGGCAAGAACCCCAGAACCAGCAACTTCTGTAGCTGCAACCCCAGAGTCTACAGTGACAAGCCACTGTGGTGTTAACGGCTGCGGCTGCGACGAAGGCTACTGAGGCGACTGCGACGACGAGGCCAGTAATGGCAGAGATGGCGGCAGGGGCGATGACACAGGAGGCGCACCCACACGTACAAGGCCTGGAGAGTCACCAATCTCCCCTAATGGTCCAATCGGAAGGGAGGTGACATGCAACACACTAGACGAGGCAGGGCATAGGGGTAGGGAAGCAAGCGGAGGAGTGGAACCAGGGCGGGAGCGGGAGTGAGAAAGAGGGGAGGGTAGGGAACCGGGATACCGCGGTGAGGGAAATGATCGTAGAAGTAGACAGACTCATCAAAAGTGACATCACGAGAGCGGCAAAACAATGAGACAATGGGTAGTAGAACTACCAGTCATGGTCGTCTAGGGGGAAACCAGGGACGATACAGAGGAGGGTACGGTTTGAGAGCTCGTCCGTGCGAGGGTCGTAGATATGAGCAAGGCAGCCTTAGACATGAAACGCATGCGCAGCAATAGATTTCCTACTCTAGAGGAGGGTCGGCGAAACCTGTAGTCATGAGACACGGGACCATAGGTTTTTCTCATGCGCAACTTAGTGGACTGCAAACGGCTACGGAAAATTGGGTACACTAGTGCATGGACCACGTAGGTATGAGCAATCTCTATCACCAAGCCAATGCAACGCTCATTGACCCCATTATGCTGCAGTAAGATCAGCAAGGAGTGTGTTTGGCGGATACCTTCTGCACGACATATCTGCTCTAGTCGACCAGAGGCAAGCTCACCACCACGGTCAAAGTGTATACGAAGAAAAGAGCGGGCATGCCGGGCACGAATGGCCACTAGCCACGGGAGGAGGGCATCAGGCACGTCGACCTTCTGCTCAAGAAGAAACATTGTGGTGTGGCGGGAAAGGTCGTCCACAACGATCAGGAAACATCGCTCCACGCACGGCCCAGGGACGTGGGCAGGGCCATGGACATACATGAGCAGGGTACAGAGAGGAGCAATGGTATGCAAAAATGAGGATTGAGGGGCAGTGCGCTGCCGACCCTCGACGCAAGGAGTGCATGGCGGCCCAAACGAGGGAGGGAGGGTGGAGAGCGATAGTGCGAAACTCGCAACAAGACAATGGTGACCGGGACGATGGTTCCATATGAGCGACGGGTTGGCGAGCGACCGCCACGAACACGACACAACTACTTGACCAAACATGGCAACTTAGGGCGACGCAGTGTGCAGCATGAACAGACTTGATGCAGGCTCCCAGATGGAAAGCGTGCAAGTCTAGAGAGCGTAGTAAAAGATTAAGTATGTTGTCTTCGATGGACCATTCCGTGCAGCTCACTTATGCTTATAATATGGGTAAGTATATATTGGCAACGTATAAAATCCTTACTCTCCATAATGATGAAGCACTCCATCAAGCTAGATCTCTACAGTTATTTAAGTGCAACAGAGTATCCTGGCGGAATCACTTGGCACCCCTAGATTAGATCTAGTAATTGCTTTACTAAGAGTTCAGGTTTCAAACGTGATAAGTTTGACAAAGTCTACCATTCCAACCTTCGCCCTACAACAATCCCCCAAAACCAACTGTGCCAAACTAGCAATACCAAAGGTTTTGTAGTGAATAACATAGGTTTGTTGGTGTTTGTTGTTGCGAGTTCAATTCCAACCCGCAACAAGACCCGCACCATAATGTCGTAAAGGCAAAAAAGAACCAGCCTTCCCCCAACCTGCTCATACACCATGCCAACATGGGGCTTCATTCCCAGTAAGGGCATGCACACACCATGCCGCTTAAAGCGAAGAGGTTTAGTGTGATGGTTTACTGTTCATTTTAAACAGTACCTTCCATCCTTATCCTCATCTTATCTTCTAGGATTCCCACGTGCCACGTGTCACTCTACTTTCTTTGCCTTCTTATTTCTTGTACCACGATGTACTTTCCGACATTCGCTCTTTCATATTGTCCTTGCTTATATTCGCCAATATCAATCAATTCTCATTCAACTCAACTCAGAAACCTTTTCGCCTATTTTGCAAACACTTCTTTCGCTTACTTCTTCCTCCACGTTTCATCCTATACTTAGTCAGCTCAGCTATTCTTTAGCGGATTTAGGCCAAAGGGCCTAACAAATGCTATAGAGCTGCTTGTTTTTTTTTACCATTCTCATATTTTAGGGCGCATAACCATTTTACACCCGACGGTTCAAACTGCGGACCGTCCGGTCTGGCGAAACGTAACTAGTGTCGCAAAACGTCGTTAGGATGTTCGTTATGGTGTTGGCGACGTCGCCAACAAAACGGACTGTCGTGACACTTTTTCACATTTTCAACGGTCCGAGATTCGAACCGTGGACAGTCCGAAACCCAAACGGACTGTCCGAATGTCCTTGCACGGGATTGGCGCACAAATTTAAAATTGTCGAGTCGACTCGTCCACCAACAAAACTTGCATTATGACTTCGTAAATTGACATTGACCAACCAGAGACAACTCATATAAAAAAAATGATTCAACAACGAAAACTTTGAAGGGCCGTGATTCGCATAACGCTTGTATAGCAGTCGCGAAACTGTACATTGGGAAAAAAAATGTCAAAACTGCCTTCGGACAGTCCAAGCTGCAAAAAATCAATCGGACGGTCCCGTTCCCGATAAGTGGACCGTCCTGTCAGAGGTCCACTGGTGATCCCCGATTGATCCTAGGGAAGGGTTACAGGCACGGCGGCCTGGGGGGTTATGGGCGCACTCACCTGCTACACAAACAAGCCCTTTTATCCCAGTGGTTAGTGGCTGGGATTCTGACATGTTATCAGAGCGAAGGTCTCGAGTTCGAATCCCGGTGTGTGCACCTCGGGCATCCCAGTGCGGGGGGGTGTCAGAGGTCCACTGGTGATCCCCGATTGATCCTAGGGAAGGGTTACAGGCACGGCGGCCTGGGGGGTTATGGGCGCACTCATCCGCTACACAAACAAGCCATTTTATCCCAGTGGTTAGTGGCTGGGATTCTGACACGTCCGCTTCGTTTCAAGCGGACTGTCTGTCAAAATCGTAATGGCCAATATCATTGATACTCAAAACATGCTAGTGACATTTTGCATCGGTACTCAACATCGATTTCTCATCGCTGATTGGTTCTCGCTTTTCAATTACATTGCTGATTAATTCTCGCTTTTCAATCACATTTTTCACGCTAAAAACACCTCCGCAATGTGACAGAAACACAACGCCGTTACCGAACTTAAAGATGAATAATTGTGTCGAGGTGCTACCAAGAATAGACAAATAAAAATAATAAAATACTCAACCCTTTACAATGGAAGTCTTTATCGAGCACAAATTTTGTAAAGATTAAAAAAATAAACGATTGGGAAAAATGATGCAAACTGGGAATAACTCAACGGAATGGGGTCAAGGGCACCGTTTAGCCTTCGTCGACCGTAAATCTGCTGACCTCGGACATGGGGGCTTAAATTTATATTTGTACGCCCTTCCGTTGGAGCACGATTCCATAGAGAACAACAGCATTAATAAAACTCATTGGAAAACTGGAGGCAACATGGGAAATTATCAACTCTAAACAATGGACGGCTTCACGCGTTTAGGGCTGTTTTTTCCCAACGTATGTACAGGTTATATAAGGGTTTTAGTTTTTTTTTTTTCATGTTTTGTTTTCAGGGGTATCTGCCGGAATGTAACTGGTGGTGCTTTTGATTCAGAAATATGCTTATAACATGTTAAATCAGTATAACTAGATACTCTACCGAGAATTCGTCGGTTGAGTACGAATGCAAAACGCTCCTGGCATAATCTGAGTATCAATGAAGTTGGCCGAAATCGTAAAATGCAAAATGTTATGCGCCCTTAGGGCGTGTGTCTTTTTCCCGGACCAACGGTCCATACCACATGCGAAATTGCTCGCCCATGCTCGCATGTACTCCAATACGCTGACGAGCTCCAACGGTCCGGACTAGCAGCGGGATACCCTCTTCGCATGCCGTCCGGATCACATGGTTCGGAAAAAAGACACACGCCCTTAGCCTTATTGGTTGGAGCTGTGGTACTCTGGGAACTGGTGGGTTGGCATTCCAAACGTCGCCACTCCACCAGCAGGCCTCACCATTAGCTGACGAAGTGCTTGGATTTCGCTGGTTGTTTCCCCAAGTGTAGTACCTTGCCAAGTTTCACACCAGTTTCGGGCTATAGGGTGAATTGAAGCCACGCCCAGATCCAACCCATTCAGCGAAATTGTCGAAACGGTTGCGGTCGTCACGTTCGCCTTCATTCTTCGCTTCGCCCTCTTCGATCCTCCCTAGGAAGCACTGACAGAAGCAGAATCGGCGGGTCTCGCTTGTGTGGTAGCAGGATGCAATATTGATGATACAGTTGTTCTCGTTTAAAGTCCGACGGAGAAACACGCCGCGCGCGGACTATATGTCAAAATGTCCGAAACCCCGGGCAAACGGGACCCTATAGTCCCAAATTCGAGAAAATTGCATGAAAAACGGTTGTTGTTTTTTGTCATATACGTACGTATGGACCGCGCTTGCTTCAACTTCTCGTCGAACGGTTTTACGCGTTATCAGTGATGCGTGAAAAACGGGCAGAAATAAACAACATCGATTATGTTTGATGCCATAATAAGTTTGTCTTTTTGTTTTTCCTTCCTGTCAGCGAGATTACTGAGATGTCATCGTGGAGCGCGCTAGGAATCGCGCGACGGGAATAAGAAACAAGCGCGGTCAAGAGAAACAAAAAATATCAGTTAAAAATGTTTACTTTAAAACAAAACTGCCCTTTTTAGCATTCTCCGTAAATGTTCAAGGCACTTATACGTGCAATGAACCTGGTCAAAAAAGGGACTGTAGAGGAGGGGCCACACCTAGGAATTAAAGGAAAAAGCTCCTCATTCTGAAAATGGGACTTTGTGAGCGCGGGACTTTATAGCGGAACCATTTGTAGCTATCTGATCATCAGGCCTCGCTCGTAGGCAACTCCTCTGCTCCTCAGGTTCTCAGCAATCTATTCCCGGGCCTCTCTGAAATCAACGAAAGGACCACAGCAGCTTCGCGCATGTCGACTACAGGGACCCACCGCTACTGCAGTAGAGTATCCACATGATGATTTCAATCGCTCTTATTCGTTCCCGTTAATCACTACTGAGCTGCCATGCCGCCTTTCACGACGCCGAGGGCCGACGCGCGTCGCCATCAGCAGCTACAGCAGCGGCAGCGGAGTCGCGCGCCGTGGCTCTCCGGCTGGAATCGCCAGTGCCTCGCAGCGCTCAATCTAGACGTCGCCTGGGCGCGCTTCGTCAAGGCAGTCGGCCGACGGTTTGAGTCTCCAAACAGGCCGGCTAAGTCCGGTTACTATGCCGGCTGCTACGGATGGCTAGCCGGTGTAGCGTTCGTCTGCGCGCTGCTCGTCGTCCTCGCGCCGCTTCTCCAGCGCCGCGCGTTCCTCTCACCCTCCGTCTTGCGCGCCGCGTCGTCCATCGACCGCGAGGCGCTGGCGGTGGCGGTAGAGCGGCGCGGGCCGTACATCGACTCCGCCGACATCAGCGCCGCCGCCGCGTGGCCCTCCGCGCTCGACGACCTGCCGCCCGCGCGCGAGTTCGACGCGCGCGCGCGTGACAATGGGGATGCAGGCGGCGAGGGAGCGACAGGGAGGAAAGGGGAGGAAGGGGAGGGTGAAACGCGGGAGGAGCGGCGAGATTTGCGTTGGGGGGAGCAGCAGGGGGAGGGGGAGCGGAGAATGGGAGGGGACGCGGAGGCAGCGTGTGCGACAGGAGGCGCGGGGTGCCCGTATCCCGACATTGTTGTGCGCGCCAAGGTGGGGGACTTACAAGATAGGGGGCTTTTCATTGCCAAGATCTCTTTTGGTACAGCGCGCTGCCACGGCAGCACCCTCCAGAGTAGGGATGCGGTCGTGTGAGTCAGGGGAGGGCTTCAAAAGGGTCCGTTCTCTTGCGCCTCCACCCCTCTCTCCCATCCCCTTCCCGTTCCCTCTCCCCCACTCCCTCCCCCTTCTCTTCCCCCCTCCCCCTCCCCAGGGCCCACTACATGCGCGCATGGAGGCGGTGTGTGCGGGGTATGCCATCACGCAGCTGCTTCCCTTCCCTCTCCTATCCACTTCACCCAACTCGCGCCTTCCCCCACTCATTTCTTCCCCCCTCTCCCTCCCCAGGGCCCCTTACACGCGCGCATGGAGGCGGTGTGTGCAGGCTATGCCATCACGCAGCTGCTCGCCATGAAGCTCTCCCCGCCCGTCGTTGACGCCGTCGGTGTCACCCATCCCCACGGCCCCCTCTCTTCCTCTGCTGCTGGCGCTACTGGCGCTGCTGGCAGCAGTGGGGGCAGCAGCAGCAGCGGGGGAGCAGAGGGGTCAGGGGTGGGCGAGGAAGGCGTGAGGCAGCTGCGGCTGGCGGTGCTGTGGCAGCCGGACAGCAGCGTGTGGGACGCGCACTTCCACCACCTCTTCCAGCCGCTGCCGCTCTCGCCCTCCCTGCCTGACGACCATGACGCACCGCACAACGGGTCGCATAATGACCCACGTGCTGCGGGTGCAGCGACGGTGGCAGTGCTGCATGAGAAGCCGCTGTGGCTGCACTCGCCACTCTACGCTGAAGGGGTGAGTCGAGGCTTGCTGTACAGTGGGGTGGGGTGGGGTAGGTGGTAGGCTTGTGGCGGCTGATGGATGACAGGCAGGCGAGCGCAGTTGCAACATGACCTGCCAGAGATGCTGCAGTGCTGCTACTGCTGCGTGAGCACGCACAGTGCCTGCCTATCATTGCCTCCCCTTGCTGATGGCGGAAGCTAGGTCATCTCAACGGGAGGGGGGGCGTTGCCTTGCAGCATGTGAGCCTCTTCTCGCTGCTGCCTGCCTGTCCCCTTTGCCGCTGCAATTCTGCACTTGAACCTTCTCTGTTTGCCCGCTCCCCACCCCACCCCGTCATCCCACCCGTGCCACATCAGAGGCTCGACCTGGACATTGTACCTGCTCCGGCACAGTCACCGCCACGTCAGCAGCAGCCACCTCAGCAACCACAGCCACAGCAGCAACCACGCCCACAGCCAGGCGAGCCGCAGCCGCAGCACAACCCGCACGGTGCACAGCAGGCGCCATGGCTGGTGGAGCAGCCGCCCATTCCCTTCCCCACCCAACCTCACTCAAACCGCCGCCGCCTGCTGGACACCGGCGTCAGCAGGGTGGGTAGCAGCACCGGCAGTGGCAGCCTGGCGTCCGCCCGCCTGCTCTTTTCTGCTCCTGAGTCCTCCGGTACTGGGAAGGAGTGTGACACACGCAGCACTGGTGGGCAGAGCACTGGTGGGCAGAGCACTGGTGGGCAGAGCACGGGACGAAGGCGACTGGCACAAGTGGCAGGGGGCAGCACAGGAAGTACGGGTGCCAGCAGCAGTGGCAGCAGCAGCGGCGGCAGCAGCAGCAGCAGCAGCGGTGGCGGTGGCAGCACAGTGTCTGTGAGCCTCCACCTGCTCTCGTCCCTGCGCAGCGCTGCTACTAGCATGGAAGTGGTGAGTGCAAGCAGGTGGTGACTGCGGTGCAGAGCGATGCATGGAGGTGGTGAGTGCAAGCAGGTGGTGACTGCGGTGCAGAGCGATGCATGGAGGTGGTGAGCGTATGGGCATGGTGGTGAGATCATGGAGGTGGTGCGAGCACACACGGTTTGCTGCAGTGCAGAGCAGTGGTGAGTGCATGGCATGTGCAACGATGGTCCACCGATGCAGTGCAATGCAGTGCAGGAAGCAGGCCGCGTGAAAGGCCAATGGCTCCCTTGTCCCTCCTCTCGCTCCCTGTCTCCCTGCCAGGCGCCAGGGTCAGAGGAGGCGATGGAGCTGCAGGCGTCCATGGCGGAGTGCTACGGCATGCTGCACCCCTCGCCCGCCGTGCAGCAGCTCGTGGCACGCGAGAACCTCACTCACGTGCGCCACAGCACGGCCGTGTACATGGAGGTATGCTGTCAGACGCTTGTGAGGTATGCTGCACTGCTGTAGACGTGGAGGTGCGCTGCCCTCCTACACTTCTGCCTCTGCATTTTCTCCGCACGCTATGTGACCATGCTCTTAGGTAGCTGTTACGATGCAACGTCTTGCTTCCTTCCACATGCTCCTGCCTTCTCATACACTCGCCCTTCAGTCAGTGCTCTGCTTTTGTGCCCCCCTTCGCTGCACCCATCCCATCCCTGCACCTATGCAGCCGGTGTTATCAGGCTGCACGGGGTGCGACGTCAAGCAGCTCGTCAACTGCACGGCTCGTCGCCTCATGTGGCTCTTCCTCGCGCACCCCACCACCCTTACCACCATCGCCGCCTTCTGGCCCTCGCAGGCCCTCGCCGTCGCCCACACCTTCCACCCCGCCCGCCAGCCGCACCTCCTCCGCACCACTCTGCACCGCTCTGAACAGTGCCGGCCGAACCCGCAGCGCGGGGAGATGGCGGCGCCGCCCATCGTGCCGCACCCGTGGACGCCCAAGCAGATCGCAGAGAAGCGGCACCGCGCTGACATGGCGAAGAATGTCACCCGCGCCGATGCTGCTGCCGCTGACGTGGCGAAGAGCGTGGCGAGCAGGAAGGAGCGCAAGAAGTGGCTGGATAAGGCGGTGCAGGCGCAGGAGAAGGGGGACGTGAGAGGCACGGGCGATGGGGGAGGGGAGGAGGGGAGCGGGGCAGGAGCAGTAGAGGAAGGAGCGGGAGGAGGGGAGGGAGGGAGTGCGAGCTTGATACCTGGTGTGGATGGGCCGGACGGAGGGGGAGAGGCCGGGGCGATGGACGCAAAGGGCGACGCGCGGAGGGAGCGAGTGTTGGAGTTTCTACAGAAGATGTACGGCCCGGGCATGGGGGCGCGGCACATGGGCAAGACGGAAGGCGAGCAAAGGCGACAGATCAGGGCGATGCTCAAGGAGCTCATGGGCAGAGACTGGAAGGCGGTGCTGGCAGGGGAGGAGGCGGGGGAGAAGGAAGGCGAGGGGGACGGGGAGGGGGAGGGGGAGGGGGAGGGGGAGGGGGAGGGGGAGGGGAAGCAGAATGTTTTTAGTTTGGTGCGATTGCGACGTTTGCTGCAGTCTGAGGGGGGAGAGGATGGTGACGAGTTGGGGGAGGGGAATGAGGCGCATGGAGGCAAGCGGCAGCAAGAGAGAGGGAGAAACAAGGTGAAGCAGCAAGGTGAGACAAGGGAGCAGCTTCGGAAGCAGATGGAGGTGGCGGAGAGAGCAGTGGGTGAGAGGGAGGCGAGGGAGAGGGAGGAGGCGCAGAGGAAGTGGGAGGGGCTGGACGCGAAGCAGAGGTCCATCCGGTGCTCCCAGCTGGAGGCCGCAGAGCTGTTCGCGCTCTCCCACGCGCCACGCCTCATCCACCTGCACCACTCGCCGCAGGCCGACTTCCTGCACGCCCATGCCATCGCCCGCCGCGCCCAGGAGGCTTCGCAGGCTGCCGGTGGGGCTGTGGGGAGGGGGGAGCGGGGCGGCGGGGGGTGGGTGGGGGCGATGGCGGAGGGCGTGGAGCGCGGCGAGGAGGTGGGGCTGGTGCGCGAGGAGACGGTGTGCCAGGCGCCGGCGACGAAGCCCATCACGAAGCACCGCATTGGGCACCAGCTGATCGTGGATGGTGAGCGATGGGTGAGTGGGAGGGATGGGTAGGTTGGAGGGATGTGTGGGGAGATGTGTTCGCTGCCGGACGGTTCCTCACCTCTCCACGTCCCCCTCGTCCTCCTCACCGCACCTCACCTCGCCTCACCTCCATCCGCGCGCCTGTGCCACGCCCCCACACCAGAGGGCATCGTCCTGCTGCTGTACTGCTGGGTGCCCAACGTGGCCTGCACCACCTGGAAGGTCTGGCCACCTCTCCTTGGCCTCTCCTTGGCCTCTCCTTGGCCTCTCCTTGGCATCTCCTTGTTACCTCTCCCCTCTGCCCACACCGTTCCTCACGCCCCTCCCCTCTCTCACTGCGCTCCTGTCACATGCCCCCCAACAGAGGACATTGGCCTGCTGTACTGCTGGGTGCCCAAGGTCGCCTGCACCAGCTGGAAGGTGTGGCTGCGGCAGCAGCACCACGACAGCCACAGCAACGACCTGCTGTCCACGCACCGCCCCTTCGCCTCCAACATCACTGAGCTGTGGTACGCGCTCTCCGAGCCGGCAGCCATCCGCGCCGTGACGCGCCCCGACCTGCTGCGCTTTGTGTTCGTGCGACAGCCCTTTGAGCGCATCGTCTCTGCGTACCTCAACAAGCACGTGGCGGGCGGCGGGCCCGATGGATGGGGCAGGAAATTCTGGAATTTGGTGAGTTGGGGGCAGCGGGCGGTTGGGTGGTTGGGTGGTTGGGATATGGGGGGTTGACAAAAGCAATGGAGCGTGTGTGAGGGGTGGCGGGTGGTCAGAAGTTGGGCACGATGAGATTGTAGAGGCAATCCAATCCAGTCCAATCTTGCTGTGCTGCTGGCTCAAGGGTGGCGAGGAACCGCACTCACAGGGGCACTGACCGTGTGATGACGCTCTTACACTTTATCGTCGAATGAGTGAGTGACATTGGTGCTGCCAACACCTCGCACCACCTGCATGCATCCACACCCTTTCTTGACCCGTGTCGTCCTCGCTCTCTCCCCGTGCCTCCTCCCCCATTCACCGCCCTCCCCCCCCTTCTCCCCCGTGCAGAACTTCTTCGGCCATCTGGCGTACTTCAGGCAGATGAACAACCGCACGGGTGGCAACTTCACGTTCCCGGAGTTCGTGCGCCTGGTGGAGTATGGCATGCGGTTCGACAGGCGCAAGAACATGGACAACCACCTCGCCCCGCAGGTGGGAGGCATGCAACCACGCGCCTTGCCCACACAAACTACATGCGTGCCCACTTCCACCACACATGACGACGCTATGTACTTTGGTCTGGAGGCCTTAAAACCCTGGACTCTCGCTTTTCCCTGCTGGCCCCTCCTCTCCCCCCACGCCGTGCCTCTCTTGCTCCCCCACCCACCCCCCTCCCACCAGTCGTTGCTGTGCGGGTTGGACCGCATAAGGTACGACCTGGTGGGGCGGTTTGAGCGCATGGAGGAGGACGTGCAGGCCGTCATGACACGCCTGGGCCGCCACCCGGGCGACGCGTTTGACTTCGGCAAGAAGATCCACCCCACCAAGTCACGCGACCAGCTGCTGCAGCTCTACAGTGACGCTGTCAGTAACCCCCACTGCCGGAGTTCCCTCTCGTGCCTGGTGCTTTGCTGCTTCCAGGTTGCTTCCCAGTTGAATCCAGGTAGCATCCAGGTTGCTTCCGCTAAAACCGCCTGGGTAAAGCATAGCTGTCACGTGCTGTGTGTCAGTGTTGGTGGTATCATTCCCGCCTGCCGAATTCCTCGTGCTCTTCTGTCCTTAGCACGCCGTCACGGCACGCCCATGATCCACCTTGGGACTCCCCATGCATCCTCCACCTTGGGACTCCCCATGCATCCTCCACCTTTCACCACGTGTGTGCCGCGTGTCCCACACCACCTGTGCATGCAACGTACTTCAAGGTGAAGAGCACGTACCAAGCCGACATGGGCAAGCCCTTCAACGCCATGCACTTTAAACCCCCCCTTGCATGCTCGCAGTCTCACCCACATGTGTCCCACACCACGTGTGCAGGCGACGTATTTCAAGGTGAAGAGCACGTACGCAGCAGACATGGAGGAGCCATTCAATGCCATCCACTTCGACCCGCCGCCAGAGCTGCGCGGCAAGTTTGAACCGAAGCCACTTCAATTACCACAACGCCCCATGAGATGAAGAATCTGAGAGTTTGCTTCGGTAACACAACAGCGCTTTTTGCTATATGAAGCAGCAACGTCCTTTTCAAGAAGATCCTTGTGGTTTACAAACACGGTAGCAAAAGGCTTTGGTTCGGGTAAGAAGGGTGATTCAGAAAACTCAGACCCTAGTGCCGTTACCGTGCTAAATACTACCGTATGAGAAAATCAGGCCTGCTGCTTGCGAGCACTTGCAATACTTCCGTCCATACGAGTCCGTCAACGCCTCACATGAACGACATGCCTGCTCCATTCCGTCCAGGAAGCCAAGGCCAAAAGATAATCAAAGTTCAAACCAACGCACGCCCTCAAAATGAGGGAATGAGCAGCAGCACACACTGATCGATATTGTAGAGGCACCGTGCATGAGTGGTGTCAGCTGCTTGCACGTGCACGTCGTGTCACCGTCTCAACTCTGCTCTTCACAGCCCTTGCAACGCGCTCCCACGCGCCCAGCACACCGCGCATCTCCCCTCCTCCCTCTGCATGTGCGGCCCTGCCAGGGGCAGTCGAAGCACCCACCACACCCCCATTGCTGCTGCCACCCTCTGCCCCACCTGCTGCTGTCTGCCTGCTGCTGCTGCCACTGCCAACACCTTTCTCCTCACCCTCTCTACCATCCCCTCCCCCTTTCACCGCCCCACCCACCACCTCCTTTCTCCTCCCTGCCCTCGGCTTCACCAGCCCGCCCTCCCACCCCTCTCCACCACTCCCCATCTCCCCCACATCCCCCACACCACCCCCCGGCGACTCCAAGTACGAAACACCGCTCCGCCACGCCACTGCGGCACCGCCCGCCTCGCGGGGCAGCCCCTTGACGCTCATCACGTTCGACAGCGCCTCTCCCTTCCCCCACTCCCCATCGCCCCCGTCGCCCGTTCCCCTGCCAGCCCCTGCGAGCGCGGCAGCCACGGCCTGCTGGGCCAGCTTCGCCCCCGGGCTCCTCTCCGCCTCCACACCCCCCACGCCCGCCCTCCCCCCCACCACCCCCCGTCTGCACTCCCCCTGCGGCCCCCAGCAGCAGTGGCAGTGGCGGCAGCGGCGTGGCGGCGGTGGAGTGCAGAGCGCAGGAGGGCGCGCTGGGCGCGGCGGTCGAGGAGGGGCAGCGGGATGGCGGAGAGGGAGCGCGCCAGCAGCGCCTGGGAGAAGGCTGCACTGCACTGCTGCTGTGCGTGCTCCTCACAGGCGGTCTGCGTGCATGCATGGGGGCAGCAGGGGGTGGCAGAGATGGGGTTGGAGAGATCAAGCGGGGTGAAAGGAGGTGCAGTGCATCCACTCCACTACAGAGATACTGAATGAAACAGAGAAACGCCAACCGAAAGAGAGTCACGGTGCATGATGTGGTGAGCAGAGAAAATGATGTGCTACCTGTGCTGTGAGGTACCTGTGCAGTGAGGTACCTGTGCGGTGGCGAGGCACGCCATCATCTCGCGCTCCTCACACGCCTCGCGCTCCTTCTCCTCCTCCTCGCTGCCCCTGCCCGCCCCTCCCCCCACCCCCAGCAGCTCCATGACCCCCAGGAAGCCGCCCCCCGCCCCCCTGAGCCCCCACGGCAGCGTGCCCTGGCAGCGCTCACTGGCGCGCACCGCACACCCCATGCGCGCGCCCATCTGGGGGGAGGGTGGAGAGAGGAGAGGGGAGGGCGGGGGAGCATGGCGAGATAGAGGGGGGGTGAGGTGAGATGGTGAGGGACGATAGAGAGGAGTTGTAACGAAAGAGAGAATGCACGACAGAGAGGTGAGTGCGCGCCTCTCTCACGACTCGTGACGCTCACCTCTTTCCACGCTCACCTCTTTCCACGCTCACCTCTTTCCACGCTCACCTCTTTCCACGCTCACCTCTTTCCACGCTCACCTCGCACCCCTCACCTCGCCCCCCTCACCTCGCCCCCCTCACCTCGCCCCCCTCACCTCGCCCCCCTCACCTCGCCCCCCCTCACCTTGCCCCCCTCACCTCGCACTGCTCCGCTATCTTGCGCTCGCACGCGCCCCATGCGCTGCGCCAGCTGGGCTCGTCTTGGAACGCCAGCACCCATGCGCCCCTCTCAGGGCTGTCGGCGGGCCCCGCGCGCACGGGCACGCGCAGGGGCGGCAGCGGCGCGGGCGAGAAAGCGACGGTGGTGACGGCGGGCGCCAGCTCCAGGTCCCCCGCGTCCAGCCCGCCGTACGTCCCCCCGTCCGCCCCGCCTGGCGGCGCGCGCCGAGGGGAGGGGGAATGAAGCGGAGAGGGGAGGGAAAGGGGTGGGGGAAGGGGGAGGTGGGGGGAGGGGGGGAGTGTTACTGGCAGAGTTGAGTGTGAGGGCGGCAAGTGCAATGCGTGCAGGCGGGCAGGCGTGGGAATGGAAGGCATGCGGTGAGGAGCGCGGGTGCGAGGGGAGCTGCGCGACCAAAAGAGGGGTGGCGCGGCAAGCACCGTGCGAGGCGAGGCTGCGATGGGCGACGCACCCGAAGCCGCGAGGGGGCCGCTGATGGTGCCTCCCGCGCCGCCCTCCATGCTGCTGCGCCTCCCGCCGCTCGCCCGCTGCCGCGGCGGAGTGGTACCGCGAGGGGAACGGTGGTGGGCGCGGCGTTGCGCAGGTGGATGCGATGGGCGATGGGGGCGTTGAGCGCGGGGCACGCGGGGGCGAGGGTTGGTCCCACAGAGGCCGTCAACCTTGCCGTGTGCCGTCTGCCTCGCGTCAACGCGGGTCACCGTCGTCGCGCTGTCGTCCTTGTCCGAGTGACCGTACGCCACTTCGACGTAATCGATCCGCTCAAAGAACAACACCGTGGCTAGTATTTCTCTTTCACTCGTGTTTGTTGACGTACCAATCGAATAATCAAATTAGCCGATCACAAAGAATGACTTTCAATGCTTGTCACCAGATCGGTTTAGGATGGTTCAAGATCCAGCCCTCCAGATACACACGAGTGATTCGGTAAGTTTGTGTAGCTGGCTGAAATTGATATAAAATCCTTCACGAAGTGTACTAAACCTCTGAAACATTTTTTGCAAATACTATCATTTCTCAACCAGAGAAATCCCCGTTGTCCACCAACGCCTGCGGCCAGAGTGGATCCGCCTTTGTTGAAGAGCAAGGTACCTTCCTTCCCTCGCACATCCGCCAATGGCGTCGCTCGCTCGCAAGCTCGCCGTCCTCCCCGCAGCTCGCCTCGCCGCCCGTCCCCGCTGCTCCTCTTCGCACCTCCCCGTGCCGCGCTCCCTCCATCCCCTTGCGCCCTTCGTTCCGCTCTCCGCTTCCCCGCGTGGCCCCGCGGCCACGCCGCGCATTGCGTCCCGGCCGTCCGTCGCAGCTCCCTCCGCCGTCCCTCGGTTCTCCGCCGCGGCGGGGCGGCGGAGCGTGGCGTCGAGCGCGTCGGGGGGCGGCGGGGGGCGGGGCGCGCGCGAGGCGGAGGAGGAGTGGGATCGCGAGGTGCTGGTGCAGCACCTGGTGGTGGGCGCGGACCAGCTGCCGCTGCTGCTGGAGCTGCAACGCCGCATCATGGCGGGTGAGGGGCGCGATGGCGGGTGAGAGGCGCGATGGCGGGTGAGAGCGCGATGGCGGGTGAGAGGCGCGATGGCGGGTGAGAGGCGCGATGGCGGGTGAGAGGCGCGATGGCGGGTGAGAGGCGCGATGGCGGGTGAGAGGCATGATGGCGGGTGAGAGGAACACGTATGTTCGATTTTGCTGCGGCATGAATCAGTGTGGCGTGAAGGACGTGCTTGCTCGCGCACTCATTCCGCGCCTGCATTCGCATTCACGCATCCCCACCCCTCGTCTCCGCGGTGCGCGCAGATGACGAGGATCTGAGCGACCTGGCGGCGGAGCACTCGCTGTGCGCGTCGAGGGAGAAGGGCGGCATGGTGGGGTGGATCTCCAAAGGCTCCACTGTCAGTCGCCCTCCCCCCGCCCCTCCCACCTGCCCCCATCGCTCATTCCCCGCCCCTCCCACCTGCCCCCATCGCTCATTCCCCGCCCCTCCCACCTGCCCTCACCACCCTGCTCGCCTCACCACCCTGCTCGCCTCACCACCCTGCTCGCCTCACCACCCTGCTCGCCTCACCACCCTGCTCGCCTCACCACCATGCTCGCCTCATCATGCTCCCCTACCTCGAAGCTTGCACATGCTGGTGGCATCATTGCCTGCACCACCCATGTGACCCATCCACGCACTTACCACGGAACGCCCCCTACTCCTCACCACTCCTGCGCTCCATGGCATGAAAAAGGCACCTCATGGCATGATGTGTGGCGTGGCATGGCGTGGCTGGCATGGCATGGCATGGCATGGCATGGCATGGCATGGCATGGCATGGCATGGCATGGCATGGCATGGCATGGCATGGCGTGGCGTGGCATGGCATGGCATGGCATGGCATGGCATGGCATGGCGTGGCATGGCATGGCATGGCATGGCATGGCATGGCATGGCGTGGCATGGCATGGCATGGCATGGCATGGCATGGCGTGGCATGGCATGGCATGGCATGGCATGGCATGGCATGGCATGGCATGGCATGGCGTGGCATGGCATGGCATGGCATGGCATGGCATGGCATGGCATCAGGAGCCGGAGTTTGAGGAGGCGGCATTCAAGGCGCGGCCGGGCGACGTGGTGCGGTGCAAGACTAAGCACGGATGGCACTTGCTGCAGGTGCTGGGGGATAGGTGAGCCACCCGTTGCATGTTACATGCTCTTCTGCTGCTTCTCTCTGTGTGCTCGTTGCACGTGCCATGCTCCCTCACCCTTCTCCCTCCATGCCCCCAGGCACGCGGCGGTGTTGGACCAGGTGACGGTGGAGGAGTTTGCACGCCGCCTCGCCCACGACTACGTGCTGCTGCCGCCACAGGGGGGGCCGACAGGCAGTGGGGGTGGTGATGGTGGGGAGGGGCGGTCGCTGGAGGCGGAGCTGGTGGAGGCGCAGGCGGAGAGTGAGGGGAGGCGGGCAGTGCAGCTGGTGGACGTGCGCGAGGCAAGGGAAGTGTGCGTGCATGCTGCCCCTCTTCCCATGCCATGCCCATGCCATGCCCATGCCATGCCCATGCCCATGCCCATGCCCATGCCATGCCCTGCCATGCCATGCCATGCCATGCCCTGCCTTTCTGCCATGTTTTTTTTGCACGTCTTGCATTGATGCTTCCCTACCTGCTGCCTTCGTCACCCCCCCTGACTTGCGTTGCTTCATCCACTCCCACTTTTCTTGCTCCCCGTTCCCAAATGCACCCCGTCACCTGTGCTGTGCTGTGCTGTGCGGTGCTGTGCTGTGCTGTGCTGTGCTGTGCTGTGCTGTGCTGTGCCGTGCTGTGCTGTGCTGTGCTGTGCGGTGCTGTGCGGTCGTTGTGGTGGCGAAGCACAGGGAGATGGCAGCCATCCCCGGGTTCACAGTGCTGCCGCTGAGCCAGTTCGGCCAGTGGGGTCCGTCCATCGCTGACACACTGGACCCTCACACTGACACCTACCTCCTGGTATCGCACACAACCACACAGTACCGTGCTGCCTGCTACCCACCCATTCTCACCATGTTATCACCTTTGCCATCTCGCCTCACATGAAGTGCATCTTTCCTCACGTACCATGCATCTTTCCTCATGTACCATGCATCTTTCCTCACGTACCATGCATCTTTCCTCACGTACCATGCATCTTTCCTCACGTACCATGCATCTTTCCTCACGTACCATGCATCTTTCCTCACGTACCATGCATCTTTCCTCACGTACCATGCATCTTTCCTCATCCGGGCAGTGCCATCCTATGCCCTATCGCCCCCTATCATCCCTCCTATCCCCCTCTTATCTCATCGCCTGCTAATCTTATGCCCTGTCCCCCCTTTTCATCTCATGTCATGTCGCCCCCTTTCCTATCATCTACACCCATCACATTCCATTCAAACCCAACCACGCGCCTCCCCCCCTGTGGCTGCAGTGCCATCACGGCATTCGCTCGCAGCAGATGGCCCACTGGCTCCAATCCCAGGTCGCCCCACCACCCACCCTCGCTCCACCCTCGCTCCACCCTTGCTCCACCCTTGCTACATTCTTTGCTCTTCCTTCCTCTCTCTCCCTACCTCGTTTTCCTTCCTCCAATCCACATCTCCCTTCATCCCTCCCTCTCCCTCTCACCACTACATCCTCTGCCCTCCCTCTGTCTTCGTATCTGTCTGTTCCTCCACCTTCTGCTGCCCCTCCGTGTGTTGGTGCTCATGGAACAACAATTCTATTCGATTGAGCATTGCTGAGTTCCTCACAGCCATCTGCTCACCCCATCTGCTCACCCCTCTCCTAGTCCGTTTCTTAATTTCTTTCTTCTACACCCCTTCTCTACCCATCTCCTCTCTCTCCCTTGCTTCTCTCACTATACCCTCTTCTCCCATCCCAGCATCTGGTGCACATTCCACAGCACCGCCACCCATGGAGCTTTGCTGCATACAGCTCCACCCACAGCAATGCGACTTACTACTTCGCCACTTCATCCTCCACTCCTCAATGTGCTCCCTCCCACCGTGCCTCCAGGGCTTCACGCGTCTGTTCAACATTGCCGGGGGCATCGATGCATACTCGCTCAGGGTCGACCCCTCCATCCCCCGTTACTAGCACCTCTGCTTGCTTAAGAGATTCCCTTTTTCTCCCAGTACTGCACGATGCAGAAAAAGGGGCAACAGGATGTCAGGATATGGCATGCAGCCGTATAAACCATCTCCTGCTTTGTTGCTCTTGTTGACTGGTCTTGTCAGCACCTGTCTCAGTGGTTGGATTAGTTGATCCACTTCGAGTTGTAGTTTCAATTGTGATGCCCCTCGTCTAGCCTATGGGGGTGTGTGCCAAATTATGTATACTACCGTATGCATTTTGATTTGTTAGGCCACACTGAGGTGCTTCTTAGAGAGTGTACAACAGGCCCCTAGATTCGTTTTGAGGTAGTCTGACGCCTCAGAGTACACCCCTCTTCCTAGTCTGGCTGTCAGAGTTACCTATTTTTTTTAGTCTAAAAATTCAGACAAGCACAACTATTTTTGTCTGAACTATCAGAGTTACTACAAATTTTAAGATGTTCATGCAGTTTCGTAAAAGCATAGTTATAATAGCATTGAAGCTGATTACAGGCTACCAACACATCAGGCAACGTGCTCGTGCATCGCCACTGCTCATGTCGGCGGCGTTCTGGTGTTTTTGTCACGTGCAGCGCATGGTTGTTTCTGCTGATCTCATTTCGTATTGTTGTGTGTGTGATTACCGTTCTGTACCCATTTTCTCGCCTGTGTGCCAATTTTTTCAATTTTGGATTTGCGTTTCTAGCGATGCGATCGTTCACCCGATCTGTATCAGGTGGGCCAAATGCCACGCAGCTGAGCTGTCAGCAGGCAGAAACTGTTGCTTGGCGTGGCGTGTGAGCATAAGGTAGTGCCACACGAAACTTTCACTACGAATCAGGACCTTCGCAATTTCAGAGCAGTGCGTGCTGCACATGTTTTTAGAGCGAATCAGCATCAAAGTCTCCTACGGTATTCTTTACAATACATTAGCGATACCGTAAGTTACATTTGACGAGATTTAGTCTTAAAAATCCCGTAATCACGCAACCATTTCCTCAGCGTAACTGGAAGATATTATCGACGAACGAGTGTATTCGGATGTCCCAGCTGTTGAAGTGTGCGTTGCTCACGTCCTGGCACTCCACTGCCATCTCGGAAGTGGGCATATTGAAAGGAAACTTCCAAGAAACTTCGGACCGAGGAGGCAATGCTGATTCTACCCCGGATGAGGAGGACTAGCCTGCGTACTGTTTTCTTGCCCCTGCACCAGAGGAACCAGCTAGCATGGAGGAGGCACTAGATGTACCAGATAGGGACAAGTGGCTGGCTTCTAGGGATGCTGAGTACCAGAGCCTATTAGAGAATGGGACATGGGATCTGGTGGTGCTGCCTGATGGAAAGAAAGCGATACAATGCAAGTGGGTGCTGAGGATCAAGACCGATGACAAGGGGCAGGTCACCATCTACAAGAGTAGGCTGGTGGCTAAGGGGTTTATGCAGAAGGAGAAGCAGGACTTCAACGAGATCTTTGCTCCCACTACCAAACCCCCTACCCTCCTTGTTTTGTTGGCAGATGCAGCCGTTAGTGGGAAATTCATCATTCAGATGGATATATCAACGGCATTCCTCAACGGGATTTTAGAGGGGGGAGGTGTTCATGACGCAGCCGCCTGGGTATGAGGATGGTACGGGCAGGGTGTGCAAGCTGAAAAAGTCTATCTACGGCTTGAAGCAGGCGCCACGCTGCTGGTACCAGAAGTTGGCAGCTGTTTTAGAGGAGATGGGATTCAGTACCAGCTGGTGCTATGATGAGAGCCTCTTTCTCAAGGGCGAGGGGGAGGAGCTGGTGCTGTTTCTGGTCTATGTAGACGACATTCTTCTCTTTAGCAGCAGCATGAAGGAGATCCAGAAAGTGCAGCAGCAGCTGATGGAAAACTTCAAGTGCAAGAACCTTGGGGAGGTAAAGTACTACCTCGGGATGCACGTGGAGAGGGATCCTGATCACAGGTGGTTGAAGCTGCACCAGGAGAAGTTCATCAAGGAGCTGGGGGAGAAGAATGGGATTGAGAATGAACGCAAGGTTGCAACTCCCCTGCCAGCAGAATTCAAGCTTGTGAAGGCTGCAGAGGATGAAGGGGTTGAAGCCGAGAAGCAGCAGCAATTTCAGTCCTTGGTGGGCAGCCTCCTGTATGCAGCGGTTCACACGAGGCCCGACATCTCTTTCTCGGTTGGGCAGCTGGCTAGGGTGGTGCAGAATCCATCTGAGGAGCAGGTGGATGCAGCTGAGCGTGTGGTGAAGTATTTGAACTCTCACCCGAGCATTGGAGTTCAATACTCCGCATCTGCACAGGTGAAGCAGAAAGGGGTTGAGGTGCTGAAAGAGAAGGGGGAGAGGCTTGGAGAAGGCAAGCTGTTTCTCACTTGCTTTACCGATGCTACTTGGGCTTCTGAGAAGGAGGATTCCTCATCTGTGGGAGGATACATCTGCGTAGTTGGGGGAGGACCTGTTAGTTGGAGGTCTAAGAAGCAGACGGAGACGACACTCTCTTCCGTAGAATCAGAGTACATGGCAATGTTTCATGGGGTGAAGGAGGTGATTTGGCTGAGGAGGCCAAACAGCATATGGGGCGATGGGGCGGAACCAGCATATGGCTGGTTGGGCAAAGTCGAAACAGGTTCTGTTTTTAGAACCTGAACCTGGTTGTTGTTTTCCCAGGTTGGAAAAACAGAACCAGAGGTTATTTACCAACCTACCACCTGCTATTTTGTCCAGCCAGGTTGGTTCTGTTGCTTGGAATTATTTGGGATCATCCCTGGTTGTTCCCAGGTTGATTCCCAAGGTCCTTGCTAGCTAGAACTATTTATTCCTTCTCTGTTTGTACCTGGATATAGTCAATTGATTCATGCGAATTTCTTCCTCGCTGGAGTTTCGTTTCTGCGCTATTCGACGGCGGAATGCTACCCGAGTCAACGCTAGTACGCTAGCACTCCAAAGCAAACGCTGTCCGGGCCATAACTTCGTAATGGCAGAACTTTTCGCGAGGCAACTTGGCTTATTTTAAAGCTCTTGGAGCGAGCTTCGATATAGCGAATTCTCAGCTTTATCCGATCGACGGTCTGCACGGCACGCTGCGCAACGTTCAAGGTACTCTCGTTATTTTGGCTAAGTCATTCTTGACTCCTCTCTCTACAAACTCGAACCCGAGGATAGGGGCTGGTCTTGTACCAGGCACCCAGGGACACTTGGAGGTGACCCCGAGGAGAGGTTTCAAGTTTGATTAAGTCTTAATAGCTTGAGTTTATTAGGCCCTTACACCAACAGGCTGCACCCTCCACATCCGACCACGAGGTCGGCACCGCCCAAGCGAGGACGGGGCCAAACACAACTCCCATTGACACTCCCCTGCCGCGTTCACGCTTGGGCCCCTAGCCCACACGGGTAGCATTTCTCAGAGAATAGCTCGTTGGCGTGCACCCAACACACAGCACGCCGGTCACCGCACCAGCCATGCAAGAGGGCATGGCACCTACTGCTGCACGTCGTTGTCACCGTCACCCACGTCGGCCAGATGAACTTAGCCGATTGCAACGAAGTACCGATTAAAGGCCGGGTAGTGTAGTGCCTTCATCAGGAAGTCGGCCGGCTGCTCGGTGGTCGGGATGTACTTTACCGAGAACTTCCCGCGATGTGCTGCAGCCAGGCTTGTCGCCGCTCCATGTGCTTGAGGTTGCCCGTCAACCCCATGCCCTCGGCGACCGTGATGGCCGACTTGTTGTCCACCCGAAGGACAGTCGTATTCACGGCGTCCAGCTACCAGAATTTTGCAAGGAGGAAACGAAGACGGCGTCCCTCCTTGCCAGGCTGGACCTCCACCATATCACAGTTGGTGGACTCCTCGGCGTCCCCTCCATCGTCACCAGCGTCGCTGCCCTCGGCATCGTGCTGCACCGGGATCGGCATCCCCGCTGACTTATCCCCTGTGGTCGGCTCCCCTGCTGACTGCCCGGTCGCCGACTGCTCCGTGGTCGGCGTCACTGCTAGCTGCTCCCCTGTCGGCTGCTGGCCTGCTGATGCCTCCTTCGCTGGCTTTACCAAGGTCGGCTGCACCGCCTTGGCTTGCAGCTTCCCTGTCGGCGTCAGCTTCGCGCCCACGCCGATTTGCGTGGCGTCACGTCGGCCACCGGCGATGCACTTGGACGGCGCTACCGGCGATGCCCCACTGCTCCCCTCATCGCCGGAGGCCGACACCGGAGTCAGCCCACGCAAGTCGGCTACAAGGGGAGAGGCAGGAGAGACAGGGAAAGGGGAAAGAGGGCGGACGTCCTCGGCGTCCTCATCAGCCAGCGCACCGACCTCGTCGAGCAGGGGGAGCATCTGCCCCGAGGTGTCCGTCGGCAGGTTTATCTGCGTCTGCCCCGATGCCGGCCCGTGCTTCGACTTCCACACCTCCAACGACATTGTCTCATAGAACAACGCGTCCGACGTTGTGACCACCTTGTTTTCGGCGATGTCGAGGAGCTCCCAGCCCTTGCTCTCCTCCGACACGCCGAGGTGAAGGCCCCACTTGGCCTTCGGCTTCAGCTTCCCACCACGCTGCTGCTCGGGGACGAGGAACTGTGCCATGCAGCCCCACACGCGGGACAGCGACAAGTCGGGCTTCTTCCCGGTGAGCAGCTGGTACGGCGTCGTCCCCGGCAGCAGCGACGACCCCTCAAGGCAGTTGCGGACCCAGACGGCCTGCCGCAGAGCGAGGTGCCACCAGTGGTGCTGCACGCCCATGTGCAGCAGCATCGTCCGCACCGACTTCGCCACCGTCCGCATCTCCTGCTCTGCCATGCCGTTCTGCTGCGGAGTGTAGGGGCAGGTCAAGTCGTGGACGATCCCCTTGCCATCCACGAAGGTAGTAAACTTCTTGCCGAAGAACTCCCCTCCTCGGTCAGAGTGCAATATCAACACGGACTTCGACGCCTGCCGCTCAACCATCACTAGCCACTGTTGGAACTTCTGCAGCACATCCAACTTCTTCGCGACTGGCCTCACCCACACGTAGCGGGTCTTGC